TAAAAATAAACATATAGTTATAAATATTGTAAAAAAAAGGTGTTTTTATTTCAATAAACGATTATCTTACCGAGTCTGAAGCTCCTGTGTGAATTTAGGCACCTTTAGAAATGCCACCCTGTATAATACATACATAAATAGGACCCAACCAGACAGAAGACCTCGGTAGGGGAGACCAAACGGCGGAGGATTAGGGTGAGAGGGAGAGAAACCAGCGGACGATGCGGCTAGTATCGAAGAGCATCACCTTCTGCATATGATTTTAGAGCGTTCCGTCCCGGAGTCCCAGTCGCCTCAGATGTTCGGAGAGGCTGACTGGGATCAACCCATTCCCAAACCCGATTATCGGGATAATTTCAGCCAACACACCACCCCACATGTCGGTTACCTCGTGAGCCAGGTCCAGATATTTCGTCTTCTTATCTGTTTCCTTTCTTCTGTGGCGACTCCCCGGGATGGCGGCAAGCTCGACAGATGTCGACGGTGCCACCCTTTAGGATTTATCTCCGATTTTTATTATTATTAAACGATGATGTGAAAAAATATAATGTAGATTAATCACATAATCATGAAGATGTCATAAAAGAAAAAACATAGATATCATATCTCTCAAACATTGTAAATTAAAGGAAAATATTAAATTTAAACTTTTTTCAATTGAAAAACAAGAATATTGTTCTTGTTTTTCAATTGAAAAAAGTTTCATTAGATTGAAATACGAATTTACATTTACAATTTTAAGAATTCATCTCAATTAACTTTTAATAGTCAGATATTGTGAACATAGGACTGAAGTCTAAAGTGACGACGATTGTAACGATCCACGTATCATATTACTTATCAACATAGGCGGTGGTGATGCTGTTGTTATGGGTCTGTGGTGATGCTCTGTTGTGGGTCTCAGCACCAAGGACATTAATATTCATTGAACACTGCCGATTGTATATTCAAATCATTGTAATTAAAATATCGTTAAAATTAATTTATTCAGGGCATTCTGGACTTAATAATCAAAAATGAAATGTCTCTTTTAGTTCAGCCACTCTTTATTTACATACGAAACCACGAGAGACCTCTAAAACATAAAATTACACAGGTATCACTTCACTATGTATACACACCACTGCAGTAATGACAATTTGTGATGCATTTCACATCAGTATCGTATATTTATAATGTATACTAATAAATTAATATTATCTTAACAATGTGTAAAGTTTATGAGTAATGCAAGTTTACAAAGCTTTTTTATTAATATTTATGAGAAAAGGAAAATATAACTACGCCTGTAAAGCCTCGCGAGGCCACTGTATACATTTTACACGCTGATTTATCGAGGAAACAAGTCAAGTTTTCGGAGACACGCTGTCTTTTTTTTTTATGGAGAAAAGGGACAACCGAGCTGGAGGCTCACCTGATTGTAAGTGAATACCGCCGCCCATGAACACCTGCAACACCCGAGGGCTCACAAATGCGTTGCCGGCCTTTTAAGAAAGAGTATGTTCTCTTCTTGAAGGTTCCCAGGTCGTAATGGTTCGGAAAGACCGCCGGCGGCAGTTGGTTCCACAGAGTGGTTGTGCGACGCAAGAAATGCCTTGAAAGAACGCGCTGTTGTGGAACGCTGGACATCGAGGTGGATGAAATTTTTGGTTCTGGCGCGATTTCCGATAGTGGAATTCAGCCAGGCCGCCGGGGTCATTCCAAACAATTCCTCGGAATTTTGATGATATATAATTACAACCGATATAGTCAGTATTGATATTTGCGATATTTCTTTTTACCATTTCATTGACTTTGGATTTCTCAGGTAGCAACATGTCTCAAAATATCAAAATATATGGGATTCACCTGGGGACGCGCCGAGTTAATCCGAATAATACATGTTACAGACACGTATCAGACACAGATAATAATAGGTGTTACAGACTATGGGGGAAAGTTTTTATTGAACTTTATGTGTATATATATATATATATATATATATATATATATATATATATATATATATATATATATATATATATATATATAGTTAGGAGTTGTTTGATCCAGCGTCACGTATAATCAGTTTTTTGTTGATCCGCTCAAATTTTTTGATCCATACCCGATTTGTTGATCCAATATGTATGTGATTTAGTGCCTCCATTTGGATTATTAAGAAGAATTACTGTATCTCGTGAATATATTTATAAAAGTCTTGTAGCGTTGTGTAGGGAGTGCCTCATAATTGGGGTGTGCTGTCTGTACATGAGACGTACTAAGCGTGTCGTTATACATACATATACATATGTATATTACTATATCATATCATAGTTAATAATAGAATTTCCATAAAACAGAAAATAAATATTGATGAAACTCGAGTTGCCGTTAATTAGCGCTTAGTTAATATTAAATTCATCTTTTTGTTAGTTGCAAACTTTTTATAATTCATTAATAATGTACGTGAACACAGAGAATCCTTTTTAGAGATAAAACTTGTGTTGCTAAGTCTCAGTTTTTCTAAGTTGTTTCGTAGGTAAAAAAATAGACTTAAATAGTCTATTAAAATTTTAAAACTTTTTGATTTATATCTAAAATGTTTACGATTATAGGTTAACCATCTATGTAGGAAGTTATCCGAAAGTATTCACATATTTGCATATTTTAATTTTTAGCTTAATGTCAATTTAAAAGTGTAGAAATATTTATCATGAACGGATAAATGCTTCTTTCTTGTGACTACGTGATATTTTAATGAAACTAAGTAAGATACAGAGCACTAAAATTTTAATATTAAAAATTAAACTGTGGCACTCGGGACTGCCGCGGTAAAGCTATTGCATAGGATTTTTTATCAGCTTATGCAAATATAATTATTTATTTATTTTTTAGAGCCGTGATAGCTAAATGTTCGGGCGCTCGTCTTTAATTCAATATACTCGAGCAATCCGAGTTCGATTCCCGGTGCCGATACCAATGAAGTTTTTAACTTTAAGTGCTGACTTATCACGTGCTCAGCGATGAAGGAAAACACTGTGAGGAAAGCTACATATTTTTCAATTAATAAAAAAATTTAAGGAAAATATCGTGAGGAAACCTACATATTTTGGAAATAATAACAAAAAAAAATATTTCGCAGATATGTGAAGTCCGCCAATCCGCAGTGGGGCCGCGTGGTGGACTATGCCCTGATACCCTCTGTATAGAGGAGGCCTTTGCCCAGCAGTGGGGCATGTATAGGATATTACTTTTTACTTTACTTTATTTTTTATTTATGCAGTAGTTTTTTCCTTTGATATTAATTCAAGTTACACTTTTTGAGCGTGGTGAACAATAAGAAAGCAAATTTTATTCTTTTATTGAATAAATGAGAAGTTAATATCGTTTAAAATATTTTTATTATCTTACAATGCATGTACGTTATTCAGAATTTTTATCATTGAAACTATAGGTCAAAAATAATAAATATAAGTTTGAGACTTGATACCTTATAAATATTATATCATCATGTGATAAAGTAATATTATAATATCATAATACCCATCCATGTGAGCTTCGTACAGTCGTACTATATACATACACGTTAAGCGAACGCCCGGCCGAGCTATGTGATAGGCGGAGTGGGTTGGAGTTGGAGTGTTAGGTTTTATTTTCGTTACGGAATTTCTTGGTTCGGTCGCCGCGCTCAAAGCTCGCGATAAAAGCTATGCAATAGCTTGAAAATACCAATAATATGATGATTGACCAAGCCTCACTCAAGTATTTAAAGTTTAATCCGATATGTGTTTAAAACAAGCCAGTATAAATTCCAAAGATCATTCTTTTATTTTTAACATTATTTAGAAAAAAATATTTTATGGCGGCTGTCAGTTACTGGCGCCTATCGGGTAAAGGGCGCTCAGGCGCTCTAACCACTAAGGTAAGCAGTCCATAATCTGACCGTGCGAAAATCTCGACTTCTTTTCTTTGATTTCATTTAAATTTTGCCAATGTTTGGCACCATCTAGTGCGCTTCTTTAAGTAGCGACTAGCAGAAAAAAAGTTATGATTTCTTTAGTAAACATGTATATCAATAAGTGAGTGTAATGCTCCTATGTTGAGATTAAAATTATCGAGAAGATATTTAAGTTATCGATGGATGAAGCGGTAAGCGGTGATGATTTCAAGGGGCCCATTATGAAAATGTGAATAAGATGTTATTTGTAGTAAATTTTATGCTCAAATTTCAGATTTCATTATTTGATATCACAGTCAGTGTTTAAATGATTTCAGTACACACAATATTTTTATTTAATAGTTTAATGAAAAATCTTTTTATCTTACTCAAATGAATGGAAACAATAGTTACGAGTATAAGGGGAGTAAAATATAAGAGTCAATTTGTAATGAAATCAAAACATAATATGTTCAATTCTCCCATAGAGTTTTTAATTGACACCGATCGACCGCTTTACGTTCCAGTTCACATTAATAAATTCAAAATCGGTTAGTTCTAATAAGAATAATTCTTGACGGTGGGCTGACACGTAAACTGTTCAAATTTAAAGCATGAAAACGTAAATTTGTAAACTAAATAATAATTTTAGTTATAATAAAATATATTTTATTAACGCATCTAAGATTGAGTCAAGAAAGCAAAAAGCGTACCTCGAAAGATAGGAAACATTTTTCGTACAAAACTAGTTTTAGGTATTACGTTTTTTAATTTAAACATACGTAGTTAGAGAATGTGTTTAAGAGCTAACATTCTAATCTTACGGGAAAAAAGACGTTTCTAATTAATCCCGTCCTTTTCTGTATACTTTAAAATAATGAGGCAAATCTCTTTGTTTGCATGTAGGTAATTTTGACCATGACAAAAAGATGCAGGCCTGTTCTGACAGGTCATCGTTTAATTCCATCCACTTATACGAGTAGCATACTGTAGACAGTTACGACTTTGACCTTATTAAAAGGAAATCTAAAACCGCGCCGCACAAGGGTGCGTTGTGATCTCACAATTGTTTTATTCGATTTTAAAGGAATTTCCCTGAAAGTAAAAGCCATGAAAAGAGAACCGAACATAAGCTGTTTTAATATACAGAATAGAAAGAGTTTCGAAATGTGTACACCAACAAAACTCTCCAATATTAATTGATGAAATGTCATCATGTAAGTAAACTTAAATAATATTATAAAAATGTATGCACAAATATATTATCATTTTAAATTTTTCATTTTCAGAGGAAATATTCCTTTAAATAATACAGTTCTCTTGAAATGTGCAGATGTTTAAATGAAAAGAGTAGTCAAAAGTTTGCAGCTGCGAATTGCACGTTGTGAAAGGAGATGTCAACCGTTTTCAATTTAAACTTTTAAATAAAACAAATTGTAGAAGATTATACATTCAGTTCTTTTTACAATTCTTTTTGGATGGAAAGTAATTAAAAACTCTTTTTTTATTAAATAAAAACTTCAGTTTGGTAATCAAATTTCCAAGAAATATACATATAAACAAGGGTTCACTGGTAGAGGCATTATCCATTAGGCATTAGGTCCGCCTATTGTAGCCCTTACTTTAAGGTGTAGCAATGAAGCTTAACTAAATAAATAAATAAACAGTTATCATATAATAATCATTGTTGTTACTGTCCACGAGTATAACATAAGGACCGATTTGATAGTCAGACAAAATGTGTAAAAAAATCTAAATTAAGTTTACAAGACTCTTTATTTTACGTCAAAATTTTTGCGTCTCAGCTTCGTGTTCTTCTCATAATGGCAATCTTGCTGATATAACTGCAAGTGAAATTCACTGTCTCGATCTCATCGTCTTACAACGATGGTTGTTTTCTTTCTGATATGTATAGACTTTTAAAGAAACAACCGTTGCGTAAGAGCACTCGTTTATTACTGTCCCACACAGTGAGCGCGTACACATCACTCCTCCACACTTAATTTTTGAAACCTGATAAAAAAAAAATAATTACTTCGAATTGACAATCATTTAAACAATAATTATGTTAAAACTAATATACATCATAAACACCTTAAAAATACTTCTTATAATCTATTTTTTTCCTTGGCCGCAACTGTCGTGTACTAATAAGTGAGGATGTCCTAGCAGTACCTAATTCGCTGCTTCCCGTGTTGTCACTCACTCTTAGCGGCGCGGACACGCCTGTGTTTTCGCGACTACACTCTGCGCCCTCGCTGTGAACTAGTTCCTCCCCACTGCCGCTATCCACACTATTTTCAACATTTGGGCAAAGTGTAGGCTGCAGGTCTGTTGTTGGTTCGACATTTTGTTGAGTGTTTGTTGTAACAACAGCGGTTTCGGTATTTTGTGGTGGAGAAATTTGTGTGGTGTTGGGTGGAGCACAATATGTACTTGTGTGTGTTTTGTGAGATACGCTGTCATTACAGCTGACATCTTGGCCCGTATATTTTAAAATTTGATCAATATGCCTTATACAAAACACACCTAAGCTGTGGATCCAAATTTGGTACATTTTGCTCCCTATTTTATTACGTATACTACCCAACTGCCAAGTTTCCTTGCGTGCAGTGTACCATCGGGTCCAAACAGTATCACCAATGTTAAAATGTCTTTTCGTGGGCGTCGGTAAATAACTGCGATTCGTTAATATAGGTAAAACTAAGTCAAGACGACATCGTAAATTTCTGCCGAACATCAATTTAGCCGGCGTTTCACCAGTGGTACAATGCACAGTATTCCTATAATTAAACAGATACCCTAACAATATTTCATGCATTTGTTGGTACGGTAAATTATCTTTAATTATACATTTTAACATTTTTTTACATGTTCTTACAGAGTTCTCAGCTTGACCGTTACTGGGCGGATGATATATGGGTGATGTTATAAATTTAATTCCATTAGAACTACAGAATGTCTTAAATTCTAAAGTATTCCAAAATTAGAAAAAATGTATTTTAATTTACCGATTAAGGCTTGTGTCGAAGTTCTGCTTTGCATGTACAGACAATCTAACCATTTGCTAAAAGAATCTACAATAACTAGGTACACCTTTTGCCCTACAGTCATATAGTCGATATGTACGCGCTGCCACGGGCCAGCGGCGGCGGGCCAGGGTGCGGGGGGGTCCCGTGGCGGCGCCGTCCGCACGCTTGCGCACGTCGTACACGATCCTATCCACCATTCGATGTCACGGTCGATATTAGGCCACCACATTCTACTTCTAGCATTACTTTTGGTTTTTATAATGCCTAAATGTGAATCATGCAGTTCACGTAACATTTTCTCTTTCAAGGCTGATGGGATAACTATTCTGTGCCCCCTAAATAAGCAACCATTTTCTAATTGTAGATCGGTCTTACAATAAAAGTATGGCAATATTGATTTACAAATTAGTTTACGCGGCCAACCGTATTTCATATACTTAATAACAGTGTTAAGTGTTTTGTCTCGTTCAGTCACCTGTACAATGTCGCTTACAGAGATCGCCGGCGATGACTCATCGAGAAACCTAAACCGCATAATAACTATCTATAGTATCGTTGTTTACATCGTCCGACGACTCGGTATTACTACATTCTAACGGCGCGCGTGAAAAATAATCGGCGACTACGTTGTTTTCGCTGGACACGTACTGCACTACATAGTTATAAGCGGACAATATAATAGCATATCTCTGTAGTCTTAACGCTGTTGTTACCGGAATGCCTACTTTATTGTTAAAAATAGACACTAGAGGCCTATGATCGGTTTTTAAAATAAATGGATTTTCACACGCGTATAAATACTGATGGAAATGTTTCACTCCAAAGATAATAACCGTCGCTTCTTTTTGAATTTGGCTATAATTTCGTTCGCTAATCGTTAGTGAACGAGATGCATACGCCAGAGGACGTTCGGAGCCGTCGTGCGCTCGCTGCGAGAGCACGGCTCCCAGGCCTGTTGGCCCAGCGTCCACGGCCAGTACTAGCTGCGCCCCGGGTTCGAAATGAGCTAGTACGCGTTCTGACGCCAGTTCGCGTCGCACCATTGCAATACTGCGCCGCTGTCGCTCGCCCCATTCCCATGTTGCATTTTTACGTAGTAATTCGTGTAAGGGACTCAATAACGACGACGCGTTTGGAATAAAATTTCTGTAATAATTAACTACTCCTAAAAATCTTTTAACTTCAGTTATGTTAGTGGGGTCCGGTGCTCTAATGATCGCTTTAACTTTATCAAGACACGTTCTTAGGCCCGACTTACTAATAACATAACCCAAATATTTCACACTTTCTTTAAAAAACTCACACTTGTCCCTTTGAAGGCGCAATCCTGCCTCATCCAGCCTACCTAAAACTTCACTCAACCTTTTGAAGTGCGAATTATTGTCGGGGCTTGTGATACAGATATCATCGAGCCATATGCTTACTCTATCTATCCCTGAAAGAAGGGTTTCCATGCTCTTTTGGAATATAGCTGGCGCGTTAGCTAAACCGTAAACTAACCTAGTATATTTAAAAAGGCCTTTATGTGTGTTAATTGTTGTAAGCTCTTGTGATTGTTCATCTAAAATAAATTGATTATATGCGTTTTTCAAGTCAATTTTGCTATATCGCTCGCCCCCTCCAATTTTAGCAAACACCTCCTCGATTCGCGGCAGTGGATATTTTTCAATTGTAAGGTCCCTATTTAATGTGACAGAATAATCACCAGCAATTTTAACTTGACCGTTCTCTTTTAATACGGGCACTATAGGGGTGGCATATTTAGAATAGTTGACCGGTAGAAGGATCCCTAATCTAACTAATCGGTTTATTTCTTGTTCAACTTTATCTCTGAGGGCAAAAGGTACTGTACGTGGCTTAAAAAATTTTGGACACAGTTATCTTTTAATTGCAAGCTGACTTTAAATTTATTAAACGACCCCAATTCATCTCGCCATAAATTTGAATATTTATTTAACAATTCCTGTAATTCTGAACTATCACTACTTATAAAATTATTTTTAGTCGTAATGATTAAGTTGAATACACACATAAAATCCCTACCTAATATTGGTGGGCTTCCATTTTTAACAACAAAAATTTTAATTAGCTTTTTAATATTATTATAGCTAGCTGCCACAGTAAAGTATCCCATAGGCGTTATTTTATGTCCATCGTACAAACACATTTTTATACAACTGCGTTGAAGCGAATACTTAGAGAAGAAGTGTTTATACATTTCATCTGATATGACACATTTACTAGAACCTGAATCAAGCTCCATTGACATACTTTTGCTGCCTATTTTTAAATTAATTTGAATTGGTCTATCGGTCACATACCTTAAAGATATAAACATTGGTTCTTAGGTTTGTTGCACACTTTCTTTAAATGACCCTTCTTTCCACACTTTTGACATTTGTAGCTTTTGTAACGACACTTCTCACTTTGGTGATTTTGCATCCCACAAACAGCGCAGCGCGATGAGGCAGCATACCCGCCGTCTGCCCGCCGAGCACCACTGACCCGACCGGGTTGACGTTGATCTCGCACTCGATATACCGGCTCCTCCTTAACAGGGATAGCTTCACTGTTGCACATCATTCCCATCGCCTGTTTGGCGCAAGCTGCCTGTTCAGCCAGCTCGATAGCACGTGTCAGCGTAAGTGTAGACGGATTCTGCTCGAACAACTTGTCGCGTTCTGGACCTGAGCCCAGGCCGAGAACGAAACGATCCCTTAAGTTCGTTTCCAGAGCGGTGCCGAAATCGCAATAGCTTGCGAGTCCTCTTAGTCGCGCCGCCCATTCTCCCCATGATTCGCCTGACCCTCTGTTAGCTCCATAAAAATTCGCCTTGTCCACAAACGAGCATTGCTTCGGCTTGAAATGGCTGTCGAGTAATTGTACGAGGCTCGCATAGCTCAACAACTCCAGCTTCTGCGGGTACGCCAAGTTTCGTACTAAACGAAACGACTCCTCGCTAAGTTGTGTAAGCAGTATTCCACTCTTGTTTCCTTCTTCTATTTTGTTTATTTTTAAAAATTGTGACAGTCTGGCTTTAAATATTGACCACTCGCAGGACTTATGGTCAAAAATAGGCAAGTTTCCTAAGTACGCCATTTTTTTTTTACTTGCGGGTAATCCGACCTCGTCGCCAATGATATGTATAGACTTGGAAAGAAACAACCGTTGCGTAAGAGCACTCGTTTATTACTGACCCACACAGTGAGCGCGTACACATCACTTTCTTTCGTTTGCTAATTGCTTTTGAAGCCGCGACAGATATCGGGGTAATTCAAATATCCTTCTTGTGTTTTTATTTCGATTGATATAGGTTTAAATTATGAAAATGAAAAATGTATATTTTCATATTTTTCTCAAGGGAAATAATGTTTTCTACTTCATATCACAAGACTTTTTTATCATTAGGTCGGTTACCCAGCAACCGTTATTGTATTGTAATCGTTTTTTTTTTATTGAAAATTCTAACCCTTTCGATTTCAGCTGTAATTGGTTAAAACTAGAAACTCTAAATATATTGGTGAAATTTTGATATCCATAGTGGCCTTTACCCGATTGCACAGGTCTTGATCTAAAAGGATGGAAAGGATATGTTAAGTAAATTACAACAGCGCGTTGCTGTTAATTCCATTTACAATTTATTCTACAATTTGAATGGAGCTAATTAGAAGAACGATATTTATATAAAAATCCAAATGTCTCTTAAATATAACAGACGGACTCAAATGTTCCAAATAATATTTGTGAATAAGGCGATGTCTTAAAAACTATTTTTAAGATGAAACAACGGAAATATTTCTCGTACCTTGTCTCACCATGAATATGGTAAATAATAAAAAAAGATGCGTTGTAATACCCAAATTAAAATTCAGCTAGACCAGTAAAGCCATCAAACCGGTAGTAATTTATAAAAGTTTATTGAAAAATTCTATGTTTGTCATATAGGTATGTATCTTAGCTTTTGAAATAAAATAGTACGGAATATATTTCCTTGTTTTTCTTTCCAACATCAACAACAAAATCAGCTTATCGCCGTCCACTGCTGAACCGCACTACCATCCGCTGCCAGCCATTTCTTTCAAAGAGTTGCTACTTATTACCGTACTTATTATTATTCCATGTTTGCTACTTTATGATTTATGTTTTATTTGCTGTAGTTGCTTTTCTTTCGTAAATAGAAATAAATGTACATTATTATTATAATTATCCTACTTCCATCCAAAGGAGGGAGTACGTACATAAAAATTTTTGATAATTATTTATTATGTGAATACTGCCGCCCATGGACATCTGCTGCACCCGAGGGTTACAGATGCTTTGGCAACCTTTTGAAAATTGGGCTCCGGCGACCTCACTCACCAGACGAAATGCAAAAGTATTTGTCATACTTCCACTTTACGCTGGTCTTCTTCGTCCGGGCCTGCCCATTCGTGCAACAGCCGAGGCTGAAAACCCCATTAAAATCCGTTGCATAGTTTTAAGATCTAAGCGTACAAGCATCGGGAGCTACTTTGTTTTATACTATGTAAAGATTATATTAGTTTATATTAATTTCCCTTATGACATGATTTGATTTAATATATACCAGAAAGAAAAGACTTACATAATTGTTTTATACCATTAGTTTTAATTTTTACATATTACTCTTATATAGTAAAAACATATAAGTTATTAATCATTTTTATTGAAACAAAAGAACAAAATAGGATTTAAACTATATTTATGCACATTTACATTAAACCTTTTCGGAGAAAAGGGTACAGAAGCTCGAAACACTAAACTAGATAAATAAATTGCTATTTATTTCTTCTCTAGTTCTTAAGGTGAAGATATCATCTAAATTCTAATTTAATATCTTTCATGTACAAACGATTAATTTTAACGATCTTTAACTGTGACACATAAGTTGAAGTTTAATATTTCAAACTTTGAATCTTTGCATTATTCGCAACTTGAGCGACAATAGATTTACGCTGGTTAAATACATTTATACGGAGGCCGCTAAGAAATTAATATGGCGCAACTTCCCGTTTGGTATTCAATTTCAAACCAAAAATTGTCTATAGATGGGTTACTTTAACAAATTATTGAACCAATCCTTTTTTACACTGACGTCTTTGTCACCTTGAAACTTAAAGCAGATTTAAAAAAAAAAAGTCTTAGGATTGTTTTGTACCGTAAAGATATGCTCTTATATTATTATTAAACAATTAAAAAGTCCAGTCAAACAATTTAATAGTAATAGTTTAAAATGAAATATTAACAATTTATTAATTAATACATTAATAGTAAATTAAATATAAAAAAGCAAAAATCAAAGTGTGCCTATAAATGTTACCTTTGTGCAGAGGTATTAGGGGAATAGTCCACCACGCGATTCCATTGCGGAATGGCGGACTCACATATATTCGAAATACATTGCGTATTGGCGGATTTCACATATATTCGAAATATTTTTTTGTTGTTATTTCGAAGGTTTTCTTCACTTCTGAGCACGTGATAAGTCAGCACTTAAAATTGACAATTTCATTGGTGCTGGCACCGGGGATTCATGGCATTGAATTCCCGGTGAAACAAAAAACTCAGGTTGCTCGAGAATATTTAATTAAAAGCGAGCGCCCGGAGAATGAGCTATCAGGGTTCTTATTTATTATTTAATTATTTTAGGATTTTTTTTAGTTTTACTTCAGCCGCGTGTAAAGTTTACACTGACTCATTTTTTTAATGTGAAAAGTTGGCCAGCGAGCAGTAGTTTCACCTGATGTTAAGTGATTACTGCAGCTCATAGACATCTTCAACCAACGAGTCGCAGATGCATTGCCAACAATTAAAAAAGTGGTCCCTCACTCAGCAGACGGAATTCCAAATTTTAATACTTACACTTCACGTCGGTCTTCTGTGAGGCCGTGGTACTTCCCCTAACGAGCGGGCAGCTCGTATGGGTAGGGCTCATATACATAGAACAACAGTAGTTGCTGCGTAGCCCTACCAAAATGAAAACTAATAATATGAAAGGCACATATTGATGTTTGTTTGCGACTAAAACACAAATATTTAATACAGTCACTAAATTCTTTAAATAAAAAGTTTTAGACACTTTTGTATGTATGTTACGTGATTATTATATAAATTAATATAATCTTCAGAAATCAAAGAATTGAACTTCATTATTAGACAAACCAACTTTCCTATATTTATTACCTTAAAATAAATAAGCACATTTTCCGAAAACACTTGATTTTTAAGGTTCCGTACCTAAAGAGTAAAACGAGACTTGCTGTCTGTCTGTCCGGCTATATCTCATGAACCGTGAAAATTAGAGAGTTGAAATTTTCACAGATGATGTATTTCTGTTTCCGCTATAAACCAAATACTAAAAAACAGAATAAAAAGCTATTTAAGTGGGCTCCCCTACAACAGACATAATTTCTATGCCGTTTTTATAGATGAGCGAGTCCAACTCGCACTTGGCCGGTTTTTTGCTGCATTATTAGCCCTTTGAGCGCTCACACAGCAAAAAAGGTTTTAATCAGTTGAACATTTTATTCGTCGGTTATAAAATGGCCATGGTTTTTAAATAAGTACATTCCAAATTAAAACGAATATAGAAGAAGGAAATAAAAGGAATATAGGTATTTACAGTGGTAGGAGCACGCAGCAGCCTCGGCTGTTGTACGAATGGGCTGGCTCGTCCGGGTAAGTACCATGACCTCACAGAAGACCGGCGTAAAGTGGAAGTATGACAAATACTTTCGCGTTTCGTCTGGTGAGGGAGGTAGCCGGAGCCTAATTTTCAAAAGGTTGTCAACGCATTCACTTAACATCAGGTGAACCGTCTGCTCGCTTGGCAACTTTTCACATAAAAAAAATAGAGAAGAAAAGAAAAGAAAAGGATGAAAAGAAGGAATATAGAGAAGAAACAAAATATATATAGAATTTTAATAAAAATATATTTTTGTGAAGCGAAAACCCGAAAATTAATAACGACTGTGAATAACATTCCACAGATTTTTATTATTATTACTACTATTTAGTGGTCTTGATTATGGTAGACATTGTTATAAAAATAACCAAAATTAATACAATTAATAAACACTATGCGAGGCTCTGAAACTGAATGTATATTGTTAGACAGTACACATGACTCCGGTAAAATATACTCCGCCGGATGAAGCCGCTCAAGCCATTTCTTTACTTCAACAGGGCCCTAGCCGGTGAGAAGTCATAGGCAATAATAGGAGTGATCGGTTCTACAGGCGTCCGATTGAGCAATTTTGCTGTTTTGCTGAAGCAGTGATCTACAACGGTGATTTGTGTATGATGTGGACAGGAGTTCGCTAGGAATAAAAATGGAGCACATTGTCGTCCCTGGTGGCGGTGGAGGCTGTCTGTCTGCTGAGCAATATGTGGAGAGCATTCTTCATGACTATGTCATGCCTTATGAAGGTTTAAAGGAGCGAAGAATGAAGCAGATATGAAGGATAAGGTTTCCGGGTTCCAAACTTCACCACCTTAACCAGCACCTACGCTGAACAGCTCAGTGTATCTGTCCAATAGTGGACAGTGGCGGCGAAAGCTAATAGCAGCCCAAGACAGGGCTGATATCCTGGTAGAGCATCTAGAAGGACGATTCTTAGCCAACACATCAGCTTCCGACCCCATTGCGCTGTTCCGTGAGATGAAGCGGCTACTTCATTTTGTTCCTGTCGGCTGCCGGTGCCACAGCTGGTGATACGTTCATCACTCTGGCTGAAGTGCGTAGAGCAGCGAGCTATTTACCGCTTCGCATGGTACCCGGCAACACAATCACTTCAAGAAGAAGTTTAGTGTCGCTGTGTCGCGTACACAATTCAACAAACTAAGTATGCGATCTTGCACACATACCTATACTGACTTTCTAACTTTTGATTATCTTATTTCTGGCTGAAATAAAAAACGGAACAATGACATTTACAAGAGTTTAAAAAAAGTTAGTTAACATTAAACATTTGCGGGGCGTGCAAAAAGGGGTGGAAGAAAATAAAATAACGAGACTGATTACAAAAGAAAACTGAAAATTTAAATGATGAAGAGTACCGCTCGTTCGAGCTCAGCGCAGA